CTCAGAGGAGCGAGCGTATCACTGTCGCATGTCGTCCGTTTTGATGGAACTCGCGAAACTCATTGTTAGCGGGACAGCCGCGGAATTCACGCCCCGAATGAGAAAAATATAGTGCACATTTAATTAACAAAAACGCCAACAAGGAAACGTGCGTGAATAATAAATTAATCGGTCGCATGCGCAAATTGCATTGTCTTATAAATTGTATAAAAATTTTCTATATTCAACCTAGCTTATAATGCCTTACGAATACGATACATCGGGAATTTGTATAATGCCTGCAGACCTGCGCGCCTCTCTTGCGACGAGACAATTTTCTTACGATCTGCGCGCGAGCTCCAAGCTATCGGGTACACGTTCGCTCGTTATCATTGTCGATTCGGCACTCTTAACGATTATTATTTTTAATATTTGGTCATCCAGCAAAAAGATCGGCGCGAACACGACGTGAAGAGATGGATCCGAAATTTATCATCACTTGCATATACTAGATTATAGTGCGTATTAAAAGCTGCTATATACAATGAAATCAGCAGAGTTAAATGTAAAAATATAAATATTTTAAATATTCAATAATGATATTGTCACGATAACTAATAATGATATTTAATAATGGTATATTTATTAATCCTTAAACGCCACTATTGAACGCTACTATCCAACTTATTCGATTGCTTATAACTTTCATAAAAATGAACGTATTGTAAACAATTTTATTCAGTCAAAAGACATTAAGGAATATAACGGTATCTCTGTATGTACCTTCATTAACGAAAAAGTCATAAGCAATGGAAAAAGAAATTAAAGATGTGCTATATACGAAAAAATGTTTAAAAGTTAAAAAATTAAAATATATGCATATATTATTTAATTGTTGATTATAATGTTACTGTACTTAGTTATTTTATATAAAGCAGCCTTTAATGTATAATAATCCAATGCAGTGCGAGTGATTGAATTAACTATATAAATCATCTCGCGAATAACAACGATTTTGTCGTTCAACTGAATAAATTGCAAGTCTCAAAATCGCATTTGGCTGTACACAATCGATATTCGTGCTCGTACTACGTCACCGCTATTAAGTAAATTCTTCGGGCGGATAACAATCATCTCGCGTACACGAGAACTGATCACGGGATCGCTCGCACGCTAGATCGCGGCATCTCGCAGCGCGCAAAAGCAAATCGAAAAATAAGTCGGACACGTGAGAGATAGCGAGTAATCTTCTGTTCTTTCCTTCGTACAAGAGATTTAACGATGTTACGTTAGCGGCATAGCTATTGGTGTGATATTTTGTCGAAGATCGATACAACGCACTCCTATCATCTATATTTCGCAAAGTATCGCTCAGATACTCTGACTCGATCTACGAAAATATCACGTGGATTCCCCTCAATTTGCCTTTTACGAAACAGAAAACAGAGATTTCTTCTCGAGATTTGTCTGAAATTTATATCCTCACACGCGAAACTGTACTGTGTAATTTGCTTGAATTGCTAATATAGATTTGCATATCGAAGTTATTTTAATTCACCTCCGCTTACATTCACAGACTCGCACAATATAAAATCCTAATTTAATATGGCCGGTAATTTGTTTTACATCCTCTTTCTCTTTTTCTCTATAACCACGTCTGTCCATCTATTTCGCCTCTGTTTCTCTCTTTCTCTTTCTTCTCCCATTTTATTATTATAATATATACTTACGCACTGTATGAGTAGTTTTATATTTAACCGCAATTAGTAAATAGATAATTGCAAGCTTATGATAATTTTAATTATATGTAGTGGTACGTGTGTATGTGTGTGTTTGTATTGATAATATTAAATTCACATTCATCTTCTAAAATGTAACAAGAACTTTCATTCTTTCCTTTTTTTTTCATACATGCAAACGCACGCTCATATGCTCTCTCTTTTTCTTTCTCTATTATTTTTATTCTCGTAATCAATTTCGTGCACAGTCCGATTTTTCAGCGGAAAATTATTAAACAGAGAAAATTAATTTACATCATTAAGAGATTTCAAAGAATATCGTCATTCTTTTTGCGAATTATGCGCACGGAAAATAACAAAGGCTTTTTCGCGGATTAATCATTTATATTCGAGTAGTGAAATTCGTCTCTATTCTTCTCGATATAATTACCCTACAATTAACGATAATTAAACGATAATCTCGAGAATCTTTAACTACTGATATTAATTAATGTTTGTTCTTTCTTTATAGCCATATTGAATATTTATTCTTATACTGAGAGAAAAATATTTGATATTTGTAACTATAATTATATATTACTATAATTATGATTGTTACTGCTATAATGATAATAACAGTAACACTATGCGTACTAGCAACAAATGTATATAGTTGGCAATCTAGAATGATTATAATTATAATTATTATAACCAAAAATATAATTGAAATTACCATAAAAATGACCCAAGTGACTATAATTTTACAGTTATGTTTTGAGACAACCATAAAAAATATGGTTATATCATTTTTATAGTAATTTTAACTATTTTTTAATTATAATAATTATAATTATAGTAATTTTAACCAGTTGCCAACTATATATTTGTTGCTAGAACTATACACATAGCTACTGTTATCATTATAGCAGTAATAATCATAATTATAGTATACATATAATTATAGTTATAAATACGAAACATTTTTCTCTTAATATACGGCAATAAAAAGAATAATTTGTTGGAAAGCGAGAAAAAGGAAATTACTTACATTTTATGTATATAATTTGGTGTTTGCATATAGATTATAAATAAATAATATTCTAATTCTCTCTCTTGTTAGTCCCTCAAAAAGTTAATAAATGTCTATGCATCACTAATAATACGAGCGACTATAAAAATTGAAAATAGTTAAGGCTTAACGACTTTTCATAAAATTTCATCCACGCATTTTTCATCGGAATAATATTTTCGATACGTGTCCAGCTAAATCTCTTTTACAGTATTGCATCACGTATTTCTGCTTAATAATGCGGAATGACAATGCGTCTGCCGTTAGCTGAGCCTTTAGCCGATAAAACACCACCGCGTTTTGCGTCTCGCGGAATTTTGCTACTCCAAAATGCAACGGAGAATAGATCGTCAGTTGTTCTTTTCCGTATTGTTAATCGATTATAAAGATATAGCCCTCGGACATTTATATATAGGAACGAGTCGCCACATGCGCGATATAATACGTAGATAATATCTGAAGCGAGAGCGCCTATCGGAAGATCCAATGTACACTAAAAAAAAAAAAAAAAAAAAAATTTGTCACAATTTTGATTTGTGCGAACATTTATGCACTTTCTCTCATCTTTACCATTAACCTAATCCTAATCGTGTAAACTTTGAAGATTATTGGATTATCAAGGATAATTTCTTTTCCGCATCACACTCTCAAAAAATCGATCGATTCCAAGATATTAATCTCTGAGAACATCCGGGCGCTCAACGCTCGTTATTTCCTCCGTAACTTTATCTAGTTTTTTCTCCTTTCTTCGTAAACATATATCACGATGCAGCCTTATATAACAAATCTTCGCTTAAAAACGATGCTAAACGCGCATTTATACATCTTATATCGCTTTCTACTAAGAAGCCAATAGGGACAATCTCGAGATATGTCTGTGTTGAGAATAACTTTATGGTAAAACTACTTATTTTTTATATCGCTTAGGGAAGTGCAGTTTTTACTGCTTATATATATATATTTTTTTTTTTTTCTATATGAGTTATACATTCAGCAACGCGTTAGTCCTCAATCGCTTCGCGGTGGATTTCGCATGCCATCAATTCTTCCTGTCCTTTGCTTTTCTTCTTGTGAGAAGCAAACGAATACCTATGCTTCGTACGATCGTGAGACTTGCGTGTATATTTATTATTATCTTTTAAAATCGGAAACCTTTCTCTGTCTCTCTCTCTCTCTCTCTCTCTCTCTCTCTCTCTATATATATATATATATATATATATAGATATATCTTTCTTCTCCGTCGTGTGTGAAAAAATAAAATTCTCTCATTTTTCGCGCCAGATCATGTCAATGTTGGATGTTGAAATGTATGTGGTTGACTTGTGAATAAATTGCGATGAGAAGATTGATATAATAAAGCTACAAATGAAAAAATTATGCAACAAGCGAACAAAAAAATAAATAAAAATTATAATTCACAAAATGAATAATTTATAATGTATCGGGATAATAATATAATACTCTCCAAGCAACAGTGTTTGTATCTTTTCTATAATTAATAAATGAAATGTGTCCAAACGTAAAAGTGCCATTTTAAACACAAACACAGCGCGATGCAATTTTATAGTGACATTCATTGTGGGGGGCGAAATAATACAGTAATATTATATTATTGTACTTAAGTGTTGCTCGAAACATATTTTTTAAATATACTTTACATTTCTCTTCTTGAAAGTATAATCATGAAACTTTCTCTTCGTGTAATTTTTTATGTAGGCTTATTTGTTGAAATATATATGCCATTCGGCGATTTTATCTGGAGGCAATTTGGAAATGTCTCTCTCGAAATTCATTTATTCTTATAAACACTGACTATAATGATTGTATTTAATGTCTCATTTAATATTTCTTCTAGCGTTTAATTTTAAGTTGAGGAAAATGTTTACGCACGTATCGTTCGAAACAAAATTAAATTTTTTTGAATTTTGAGAATGAAGGGAGCTCGCACTAAAGGTTTCGATGTTTCGAATTACACAATGCAAATTTGATAAATGTATTATCATCTCTCTATTTTTTCGCTATTACTGCTGACGATGACTAAGATTCACAATGTTAAACCTCAATTTTGTTTGTTGCAACATTGTATTACGCATATAGATGTGTCTCACGCATTTTCTGCAGTTCTTTTAAAGCGTTAGAAGCGTTCGTCAGAGGAAACCTCACCAGAATCTCTGAGCGCTGTCCCATAGGCTCTTTAGACTTGAACGGAACTCGAAGCGAAGATTCTGGTAGTATCACGCTATGTTGTTGCCGCTCATCGTGGTCACGCATTTCTTCTCAGGCGTGTTTTGACTCTCCGAGTTACTTCGAACCGCTTTTGGCGGGCTGCCTGGCGTTGGTGTTGTATCGCCCGACAGGGCATTGTTATTATTCGTCGATGTCGAACTTCTTCTACCATTCTCACGGGTCGGTGATTTCACGTCAAATACAGACGTATCCGATTCGATGTCCGAATCGATCTAAAAAATCGATACGATAATCTGTTAATTGCTGATGACACAAAGTTGCTCTTCTAATATTCACCGTACACAAATTTCTACAATAGCTTTAAATAAAATTGAAACAAAATTTTAATCTTCCATTAATTACATTTAAAGCAAGCGGTTGATTGAAATTATTTATGTAGAATAAATGACAATTTAGATAACATCAATCTAGATTATGAATGAAAAAGAAATTACGTAGTAATGGAAATTAAGTGGTTTTATGAAATACTATCTCAATGAAAAAAAATTTTGTTTGAGATTTCAATGAAATAGATATTCCAAAGTAGTAATTATTATGATATAACGAAAATAAAGATGAGGAATGATGCGCTACCTTATTGAAACAGACTACCTGTCTGGTAGCTGGGTGAGGACTAAGAAATAGTCGTTCACTGGTATCACTGCCACAGCTGGAACTCTCGCTCATCTCTGTGGTGAACTTTCTGGAGGCCCTCGGACTAGGCGGCGCGGCTCTGCTTTGTCCTCCCAAGTTCATACTCACATTTCTTGAACACACCTGAGACTGAATATGCTCGCATACTCGCCTGAATCTTCGAATGTTTCCTGCGAATATCAAATTGACTTCATTGTCTGACTTAATTTGACAGTATCTAATTTTTTTAGAGAAAAACAGGGTCATCATCAAGATAAAAATTAAATTAATTCATATGAATGACTTCCTTGAAAATTAGCATTTGAATTGTGTTTCGAAGATTGCTTTTGCTTATTAAAATATTGGATTTTATATAGTGTGCTTCTAACAAACTCTGAATTTATGAGCTCGAGTGACTCCGGCATGTTCTTGTCAGTTGTAAGAGATTAAAGCTTCATCAAAAAAAAAGCCAGACTATATTGCGTCGACAGATCGAATGTAGAATATACATATGTGGATAGAACATAAAATTGTATATATATGTTAGCTGTACGTGCCAAGGTAACATCGATCTAGTTGCGCTTGGATGATTGCCAAATGCAAAAGAGGCGATTCACCATACCGCGTATTTTCGCGAAGGCTTCGTACTTGTCGAAGAACCCTTCAGTCAACATTTTTTGTTTCTTTAATTTTTGTGCCATATTTGGTTTAAGAATAGCAAAGATTCTAATTTTTCTAACTGAAGGAAAAGTCATGAAGAATGTGACTGTACGCTTACCGCTCAATAATGTAAAGGTAATGGCGAAGAGGGGCTCATTCGGCTGCTTCGAGATTGCGCTAATGTCAACTTGAAATCGTACTTGTCTCTGGAACATGGCTGGTGCGGTGCTACCTCTTTTGTACTCCACTCTGAACGACATTGGCGAGCTCACGCTATGAGATAATTCTGCTATCTGTAAGCGTCCAGTTTATCTCAAATTGAATTAAGGTCAGAGAGGTCAATTAAATTGATATACTTATAAAAGTTGTAATAAAAATTCTAACAGAAAGGATTATGAAAGTGATAAATTGACTTATAATCATAAATTATTAAATTTCTTCAAATCTTTAAAGATTTTTAAAGATATTTTAAAGATTTTTAATGCATGTTTTAATGAATTTTGTCGAGTTACTTTGCTGATGATTGTAATTCTCGTACACGTAAGTATTATTTTAAATAAATAATAGTCGCTTACACTTGCAACTTATGCCAAAATGAACACTAAATTTTGATGCACTTACCGATAAAAAGGCGTGAATTAGATCGGCTTTTACACTGGCTAGCGGTTTTCCTTTGACCAAAACGGTGAAGGTTTCATCTTTCTCCGTAGTCATCAAACTACCGAACCATGATTTTTTTGTAAGTTCCGGCGAAGAATCCGGCGTGAGATGTACCTATACGCAATGGAAACTTGACGATAAACGCAACGTTAGAATTATCGTAAATAATAACTACTGCGCTATATTGTGATATAACTTTTAAACTAATCTTTTTTCAGAAGAATTTTGTTAAACATCTATCGTCTTTCATTCTTTAATTTTGTTAAGAAGAAGAATCTAGATTACTGATCAAAGAAATGCAATTTTCGATAATATAACCAAACATTGCAATTGATAGACTATTACACAATGATAGACTATTAAACAATTTACATAGTGAAAAGGAATAAATTATATCTTTTCTACTGCATACCTCCTCGGTACTAGTGAGCAATTTACGACGATGAAACCTGGGACTACCCAAGAAAGAATTCTTGATCGTGGTTAATCGCGATCTCCAATGATGAGCTCCAGATCCCGCTCCGGTGTGAGGCGACCCCGGCGGTGTAACTCCGACTGCTACTGAAAAATGAGTTATATCTTAAAAACATACATATATGTACTTGACTTATCTGAAAATTAAAACGTTAGCTTATTTCTTCTTTTTCCGTAATTAATTAGTTATCTCCCAAAATTTTTGTTCAAAGTAAATATGATCATTACGTGATGATTGATCGAAATAAGGAGAAAGTCTATCGTGTGAAATTACACAATTTCATTTAATTATAGTATGAGTCCTATATATCGGAATAACGTTTGCTAAAATGTAAGATTTTAATCTACGTGATCACATCGAAATATTGTGTTTAAATATTAATACACAATCTTGCGATTATGTGATAAATACGAGAACACTTAACGTAATATGATCTGCCGTGCTTACGGTATAGTGGCTTTAAGAGCAGCGATTAGCTTAAGTGATAATCGGTGTTATACAATACAGTCTCTTCAATATACGCAATCCACAACTGCGTCATCTGTGCACGCATACACACATATAAAGCGATCAAAGTTTAAAAATGTTTGAAGAGCGTATTTTGAAGAAAAGATTTTTCTGCATTTGAAATTAATGCAAAAAATATGACGGTATTTTAGGACTCGGATCAAAAATTATTTTAATAAGAAGTAAACATATTTTTAAAAAATAATTATGATAAAATGAGAAATTTACATTAGACAATAAAATTATATTTTAAATAGAAATATTAATCAATTTTATTCAATCGATTTTATTTCATATACAATTAAATAAAATTATATATAATTATAATACAGAAAATTGACATATTT